GGCTCAGCCGTCATTTTATTTATTGCCCTTTAGCGCCTCATTGATGTACTTTAGAGTGTTGCGCAAGTTTGTCTAGTGGTTGCGCCATTTTCAGGATTTAGTTGAACAGGCTGACAGGGTTTGTAGTTCTCTCAGATTTGGTCTGATATATTATTCTTTTTCCAATACAGTTAAGATTGTTTAAATGTTAAATATTGAAGTACCTGCTTGTTTGTGATATTATTAGCCGAAAAAATCGGTAAGTCATATTTTATGGGAAGATATTCGGTATTTAGGAACTCATTTGCTGAGTGTTTCCACTACTTGCTTAATATATGATTTTCATTGCAAATTCATATTAGTATAAAATAACTAAAACACTGTGTGGACAAGTTATTGTCTGCTCTTTATTCATGCCTTCTTTATCGTGTGATCAAGTACCGGTAGCCTATACTGTATTTTGCCAATGTCTGATATTTTTAGATCATCACTGTTGTGTTTTGCTTATAAGTTTTACTCTTATTTTAATTGCAGTTTACACACTTCTTCAATTCATTGAGACTTTATATTGGAACATTTCATCAGTTCATTGAGACACTATTTTGGAACGCTTTATAACATCTATTTCATCCTGTCATTTTAACACGATTTGGAAGTAACATCAAAACATTGTGTTGGACAGTTTCTTGGGGTTTCCAGGTTTCAGTGAGTGCAGCAGTGAGTTAAACGACGGTTATACCTACGAGGCGGAACATACGACTGCGAGTCTGCGACAGTTACAAACGACTGCGGGTTAAATAGACTGTTAGATTCGTAGCATCGTGAACAGCGGCCGTAATAATAACTATGCAGATGGAAAGAGAGTACAGTATGAGGTATATTTGTTGCATAATATTGACATTCTGACATAGTGGAAATAAGATGATTTAAGGGATATACAGTACAAGAATTGCAGAAAAAAAAAACTAAATTCATCTACAATTTATTCAATAAGACTCACAAAGGTTTTGTAAATATTCGATTCGCTGTAGTCTGTTTCGAAATCTTTGTCAAATTTGAATTATGGTCTTACTTTTTGGTAAGCCTATTCCAATAGTAACATGCATGCTTGAGTTGAATATTTCAGCTTTCCCTCCGGGTACTGCAGTAATGGGATTGTTGATTGGGAGGGCCTTTCTACACGGAGAGAGCCCTGAGCTTTTGACAATTCTGCAAATTTAATATACGGACCCCTTTTTCAGGATGTATCCTGCAATGTACTCGACCATGCCTTTTTCATAACTGCCAATCTGTTCGCAAAATGAAGTGTCAGAGATAGCAGATGTTACATTGTCATCCAGTGGCTGGAAAATGTAGTAGGTTTTTTCCAACATGGCCTTTGCTGTAAAAAAAAATTGTCAGAATGGCAGCGAACAACTTAGGCGAAAGTAGAGAATAGAGAATTAAGCATGACTTGGGCAGCTCCTTTCTCCCTGGCAAAGACTTGCATGAGGGTTTTTATAACATTCAAACCTTCAAATGTTGTCGAATCTTACGTTATTCATCAATTTTATAGCTGCATCATAAGAAACTTTACTTGTTTGGATGCTTTTGAATAAGAAAATTCTTCAATTTTATCGAAATCCTTCAAAAGGAACTCAACAATTTCATATATCTCGTTGGTAGCCATAATACAGATGATTAGCAGTAGGGTAAGTAAGATAACATATAAGTTACTGAATAATGAACTAAAGCTATGATTGTTAGGCTATGTAAAAAATTAATTACAGAGATTGTTCATTCAATGAGTGATTTTATTTAAATATAAAAAATAATATAAATAACTTTATACATTCAATATGTATTCCATTTGTAGATTCCATCATCGATTGCCATTTTCCAACATACGATACAAGTATATATCACATATTCATGATGAAGTTAGATTATTGTAATATTACAGTTAATGATAATATATATCTCGTGGTTCAAAATTTGTATCTCACTATTGATAACAAAAGATACAAACCCGCGACTTCGTACCACCGAACGGCCGACGCTGAGATAGAGATCTCGCTTAGGGAGGCTTCCTACTTCCGTACTCTTTACTCATGTGGAACGACCTTTGAACCCGCCAGTGAAATCTCTATTATCATTCTCTGTGGTATAAGTCTGTTGAATAGTCAAGAAGAGTCATTAAATTAATAAACATTTCATACAAGCCAGAAAATATCGTTGTTTGTGACATTTTATTCTAGGAGTATTCCTTGGAGTTACCGCACCGTACCTATTTAACAACGTCTTATGAGCTAGTGCTCAACTAAAATTGCTATTTATGGTAAGGATATACAAGTGTTTAATATCTTACTTATACATTTTAACACCACCTTAGAATAACTGAACTAATAATAATTGAAATATGGACACGCAGAACAATTCCCCAAAAATCATATGCGGTGACCAACGACTAACATACCGGCGGTGACTTACCAGTACCTGTATCGGGGTACCGTGACGGTACAGGGACTGTCATAGATATTTTAGGTCCTGTGACAATTGAAACATCAGTTTAAATATCTCGTGATATGAGTCAAATATGTACCGTATTATCGGATCAGGTACCGAACCACAGTCAAAGTAATAGCCTTCTGGAGAAAAATTTCATCTTCAACCACTGAAAATTTCAAAGCAATTAGTCCAGTAATCAAAGAGAAAAGCGACTTTTTAAAAACGTGTCAAAGAACAAGAACAACAACAACAACATAATATTGAAACGATCGTTATGTCCACTACGTGTCCAAAAACTATGGAAAGGCTACTCAACGCAAAAGCGAGCGGTAGTAGTACATCTGATATTCATCCGACCACTGGGGATCCACCCACAGCTGACTAATTTGATTGTTACGTCATGCAGAAGTCTGCGTTCATTATGTTATCCTGATGTTCAATTGAGGTGAACAATAAACCAGCAATCATTCACTGCTGCATCAAACTTCTGTTGCAGTGCAAGAAGTTCAACTCATTTACGTGTGTGCCACTGAGTCTGGTTCTCAATCTGGAAACTGTAAGACCAGCAGAAGAGAAGGCTCTCTGTGCTGGTGCTGATGTACACGGTATAGCCAAGTACCGAATGGCCATTTTGTGTAGGGATGGAGAATCAGTTTTTCGGGCATGCCACCACAATAATGGGTTTAGCTGCTCTGTATATCTGTCCAATTTCTCTTTCAAATACTGTGAAATTTCCTCTGACACTTAGATGCATTTCCCTCCGATCAAGAGGAGCTTGACTGTTCAATGCCTATTGATATGAGTCCTTGGAGAGGGTTTTGTTCCACCTCTGGAGCAGTAACCACAGAAGGTTCAACATGTATTTCATCTTGTATTCCTGGAAACCCTGACCTTAGAACACAAAAAAAAAATATTAGATGGGTTTGTACAAGTCTATAAATGATATGAAAGGGATAATGTTAGTTAAACCACTTATAAAACACACACAATGAACAACAGAATCCTCCCAACACATGTAATAAAAATAACCTAATGCAAAAGATATTTCTTCAATTTTTAAGCCATCTTCGATGCAAAGCTGAATCGTATGTGCTGCGCATGTAATATGGTACCAACCATATTCTTCATAAAGTAAACGACAAGCTGACACCACATTTGCTCCATTATCTGTTGTCACTGAGAACACTTTTGTCGGGCTGATATCGAACTCACTCAATGATTTTAAAATTTCTGATTTTATATTTTCTGCCGTTTGAGCCTCATCCATCTGCTCTGTTGTCAATACATATTTGAGTAATCGACCATCGCTTGGATCTACGAAATGGGCAGTGACAGTTATATATGCTTGCATTCTTGCACTTGTCCACATGTCAGTTGTAAGTGAGACAGATCTTGCTTTTACGGCCCCTATTATTTTAATAAGCTTTTCTTTACATTCTTTATACCTCCTTTCAATATGTTTGGTTACAGTGTTACGCCCTGGTAATACATAGCCTGACTGTAAGTAATGTATCAGTGTACGAAAATGCTGTCCCTCAACAAGACTTATTGGCCGGAGGTCTCCAATAATAACTTCAGTAATTAATCTATCTATTTTCTCACACTGACCCTTAGTTATTGGCTTGAAATAGGCAGTCAAGCTGCTCTGCTGTAATAAACTAGTTTCATCTGTTTATGAAATCTACATTTTAGACAAACTATGGCATTACAAATGCACGAAGCGACTAAAATAACATACGGAGCTCGCTCGCAGCCACAATAAACATGTCTAAACTTGTCTCGGCGACACAGATAAAGAGTCGATAAGGCGAAAATATAACAATTAATCGATTTTAATCGCTGGACAACGTGACGTTAATCTTGCGACGCGGAGAAGACATTGTTTCAATTAAGTTTTTTTTAATCAGAATCACGGCCATTTTGCTTCTGAAACTTACATCCCTAGTTTTAACCTTCACAACGATCCATATTGCCATCACATTATGGGCCTATTAATAATGCACAAGCTAGTTACAAAGTTCCAATTATATCTAGCCGAATCGGGCCTCGTGTAGTTTCTTACCTCATGTACTTCTAATTAGTCTGGCTCGACAATTTTTGCTTATGTTAATCCTAACCCCCACCTGAGTGAGTTGTTTATTGTTGCACAGATGACACTTCGGGCGATTGTTAACGATATAATTTTTGGATGGCATAGTCAGGTGGGGGTTAGGATTTACCTATGCGAGCATTTTTACGCCACGCCAAATAGAAGAGGTGAGAATCAATCAATCAAAATCAATGGCTAAATTAAATTATTCCCGTGATATTTTGGATCTTCTTGGTAGTATAGCCTACTAAGCGAGAAAGTTCTGTGGATAATAATTGAACAACATCTTAGTGTTTAGACAGGAAAATAGGGCACGTCAAAATAGCAAGACATTTTTAGCTTCTTGCTTATTCAGTTGATGTGGTCAAAGTTGAGAGAAAAATATATTAGAGAAGAAAGGAAAGTGAGAGATTTACACAGAAGTAGTGCAGGGGCAGTGTCAGGAGGGAGATGGCAGTTCACGCATGCTATGAAGTTTTTGGAGCCACATGTCCAGCCAAGAAGGTCAGTCAGGTATTTTATAGAAATATTTTGTTTGGCTGGATAGAAATACTTGCACGTTTGTTGTCATGTGAATTCAATGTTCAAATGGCAGCAGGTAGATTTCCGCAGCAATCTATGTTTTTCTGCATTTTCTATCATAATCTGTTATCAAATGGGTGATTCTTAGAACAGGAAAAAAGCACAGTCTGCTTTATCAGAGATTTGTTATTATATCTCCGCAACTAAGCTTCATCAATTCTAGTTTTCAGTACTTCTGGGAATTTGACAACGGATTCAAGTGAAATTGATGAAGAAGGATCTTCTGAGAAAGTTCAGTTGTCAATTCAGTCGCCTAGTTATACAGATTCAATCGATTATACCAATTCGACTCCAAAACGCCCCGCAAAAATACACCTGATAAAATAGATGAGGCCATCCTGGAATGTGTGAGAGGTATGAAAAAATAATATGGCATTTCAACTATAAAGCTTGGCGGTGTGGCGCATCGTACTAAGCAGTTAGAAATATGCTCACCATAGCACCTCTGATTACCCTGCGTGGGTTCGCATCCTGTGGGGTCTAATTATGTGCGGGAGGATGGTTGGACTCCTTGCCGCTATAGAGTGGTTCACTTAACTGCTGGTCGGTTACGACTTTTTTCACCATCAAGTCCAGGCCGACTAATTCAAATGATAACCGGACGAGAGGCCTGGGTTCGCCATATGAACAAGCCGGGTTATCAACTCTCCTCTCCCCTAGGATAAATAAGTAAAATCCTATAAACCTCTTTTCTTGTGTCAATACTGATATTGAAAAAGTGTGCTACCGTAGTATACGTACCTAGGTATTTTCCCTTTACTGAATCATCACATTGGCAAGTACAGTTCTGGAGGTGGAGGCGCGGAGCATCAAGAAAATAAATAAAAACTGGTCAATTTGGATCAGTCGTAAATTTCAAGTTTTTCGCCCAACTACAACATCAGGTCCGAAAGAAGATTTGAAATATAGCCACTTAGCCAGTTGCATGAATGAAAATTTTGATCATTTTGTATTCACAGATAGCAAAACGAGGCAAGGATGAGAGAAACCGAGGCAAGGATGAAAGAAGCAGGTCGTTTGTCAAATGCGAAATACAGAGAATGTGCATGAGGCCAAATATGGGAATCTAGGCACGTAACATTGCGTTTGGGGGCTATTCCACATTTTGTCTCAAAATGAAAATCAATAAAAGCCTGCTTTGGAAATTTTGTTGCTTAGTATTTGGGGAATCTGATGGCACGTTATTTTTAGAAGCCTGTAGATCCCGCCCCTGTAAAAACCCTGCAGGGCGAATGGGAATAATACATGCTATGGTACTTGGTTAGCATTACCCACTTTTAGAGAATACCCGAGGGACTTTACTGTTACACAAGAACATTTGCAATATATTTTTTTATTCGAAGGTACTATAAAAACTGGGAATACTGCCAAGACAGTGATCCAACAGGTGACACAAAATAGTCCGCAAAGTTTTCGCGTATATTCAGTGCTGCAGTAGAAGCATTGCACCCGGTTCGTGTCATGCCATCCAGCCTTTGTGCGTCTGCTATGTTGTTAGCTCCACCTCCAATTCCATCGTTTCCCACTTGCAGATAATTATGTAAGCAACAAGCAGCCTTCACAATAATGTCCACTCTGTGAGGCAATACCGCAATTGGCCTTAGAAAAACACGAAAGCATTGAGATAAAATGCCAAACGGATTTTCTACAGTCCGTCTTGCTCTTGACAGCCTTTGATTAAAAGAATTGATTAAAAGAAGATAAAGCTTTGCCTTTGAGGGGAAATGATGTATTAGTTGAAAGTGGCTTTATTTTTTAGAAAATTTAGATATCCATTTCGAATAGTAGGAAAATAATACCAAGCAATGTTTCAAATTACTTCCATCTTAAGGTGGTTTAAGATTAATAAGAGGTTGTAAATGATCAGGATCTGGCCGAATTTTGCCATGTGATACCAGATGCCCAAGGAATTTCAGTTCAGTCACTGAAAATACTGACTTATTTTTATTTAATGTCAAAACTTTGCCGCTCCGCAGCATTCATAAAAGCTTTTAATCGTTTATCATGTTGTGGTTGATCATCCCCAAAAATTGTGACGTTATATAAGTAAGCAAGGGTGCCTTCAAGATTTTCACGCTTGATGAAAGAGTTCATGTATCTCTGAAATACAGCCACTCCAGAAGGAACCCTTCAGAATTGATATAAAGAGCCAACAGCCTCGAACCCAGTGTAAGGTCTGTCAACGTCAGAAATAGGAATTTGGTGATAATCCGAACGTAAATCAATGGTACTGTAAATCTTTCCTTTAGCAACCTCGTTAATTATATTGTTTATGCGAGGTAAGGGATACGCGTCAAGAGCAGTGTATCTATTTATTGTTTGTGAATAGTCAATAACAAGACGTTTTTTATGTCTTTGGTCTTTTGTGACCAATACTTGAGCGCGCCACGGCGACTCTGACCGTTCTATGATGCCTTCCCGCAACAAACGAGCAATCTTATCTTTGATGGACTATAGATCATCGGAACTGTAATTTCGGGACCTGACAGCAATGGGCTTACAGTTATTGTCAACAAATCGAAAAAAGTTCACTTACTTTTGCGCTAGCCAAATTGCAGACCTCTTTACCAACGTACAAGAAGTCGAGGTCTCTGTTGAATTTGGAGACAAATTTTCGATGTTTGCTCAAAAAATCTTGGCCCAGTATGATGACCGTACACAGATTTTTCACAACACCAAACTTCATTGCATCATAAACTCTCGTTCCAATCTTTAGCGGTGCGTCCACAAACCCAATGGTTTGTGCAACTGATTCGTTCGAAGCAAGTGCGATTACAGTTTTTGGACCGTAGAGGGCGAGGCCAAGACTTGTTGCCACGGATGCCTTTATGTAACTCTGTGAAGCGCCGGAGTCTAGTAGAGCCATCAGAGGGTTTTCCGCAATTTTAGCAGTAATCGTCGAACGTGACAACGAAGTATGAATACCAGCCATAATTGAAGTCAGGTGCAAATCGTATACGGCAGCAACGGATTTCTTCGATTTACGGCAAACTTTTGCGAAATGTCCTGGATTCGAAGACCACAATTAAAACACTCTGCGTTCCTAGCACGGCACTTCAGTCGATTTGAAGCATGAATTCGTCCGCAAAAATAACACCTTCTACGGTTAACTTTTGTTCCGTAAGTACTTCTTGCAGCAGCTACGTGTTGGTCACTAATAGAGCTAAACTCAGAAAATTGGTCTTCTTTGTTCACCAAAAATTTATCATCCATTGAAGTAACGGCTGCTTGATGAGACAATGATTAGTGGTACGAATGCCAAAATTTCTCGGCCTGTCCCAAAGAATCAGCAATTTGAATAGCCTCATCTCTGTGTTGCTCGGCGCTGACTGCTTCGACATTACAATCTTTCGCAAGTGACCTGAGCGCCCGGGTAAATTCGGAGATAGTTTCACTGCTCAACTGAACCCGTGTAGCCGGCGTGTGCCTTGCATATATGATATTCTTCCTTTTATGATAATATTTGCGCAAAATCACCATAGCTTCATCATACACATCCACATCTTTCACAAAGGAAAACACGTCAGGTGATAAATATCCACCCATGATAGCACATTTGTTAAATTGCCTTGAAACACCTTCCGTGGACCTGTTGGATTCCACAGCTGTTAAGTAATTTGTAAGCATTCTGTCCCAATGCGAAAGTACTTTTAAAGCTCCAACTTCATTCGGCAAGACATCAAGCACTGGCACCCAAAAAGTTTTTCGTCGGAAGTTGCCATTGGTTTTGGAAAACCAGTTAATCGTTTCAAGTTTAAGTTCTGAGCTAATAAAGTTAAATAATTGTGGTGAACCTAGTACAATTTGTATACTAGGCTTTTATCAGCTCAAACGTCGACTAAGAGTTTTAAAGCAGCACAAGCCAAAGAATGACTTTCAAATCAAAACGGTGACCGTACATTTAAACCCATGTGTATATTCGCGGGTTCAATCTATATGCGGGTGCAAAACCCATGAGTTAGGGTTAGAGTGGGTTCAAATATCCGTAAAACAAAAAAATTCCATAGGTGCAATAGTATGCCGGTGCAATCGTCGTGGGTTCAAATGTAATGGAACCAATCAAAACACCAAGCTATTAAAGGGCGAACAGTATATGTCAGCACTCAGCAGGGTCAAATGTCGTGGATGTTTTGAGCGTTGCTAGATTTCAGGACATGAATCGCCACAATTTATATTACACCATTTATTAACGCGCGATACCAAGTGCGGCACCCCTTGCGGCGGCATAAATTGCAGTGGCCTTGGTCTGGCCTGCGTGTTTTCGGTGCTATCACAATAATTTATTGTTTTTCATACTTATATTTTGTATTTCACAATTTAGTATTAAACTGTATAAAGCGCTATTTCTTTAAACAATAAGTATTTAGGGATCACATGAATTTCGAACAATTTTAAGCAAAACGTAATTTGTTGAAATTTTTATATTTCTTTGTCCTGTTTGGTAACAAATAAATTTTAATGCTCCGGGTATTTTCAATTAAATACAGAGGTAGTTTGTTATACATTCACAATTTTGTTTTTTTATTTGTAATCAATATGATTCAATATTCCCACATTTGAATATGAGAATAAAAATAGAATAGGATTCGGTATTCTGGATTCGATTTGACTATTGTATAATAGTAAATTATTCTGTATTGCTCATCCCTACTTATATAGAAAATGTCCGAATCAAGTGTGTAGCATAGATGAATTATATTAAAACTGGTTTGTCATTGTGATATGTCTTTGGGCTATTTAAATCAATTATGTCCAGTAGCAAAACAAATTGTGAAAAACAACAGTAAAATAACAACCTTGTCCCTATAACTCCATACACTGACTACTCTTTTATCAAGAGAGTTAGACATTATTGGCGATATTTTGATAGTCTAACTAAATTTACAGTACAGTCTCTTTCTCCCGGGCTCGCGATGTCGATCAACAAATATAAAGAAAATAGACATGGAGAGTTGAGTCTCTCGAACTCGCGAGACATCCCTTACGTGCCGAGACTCGTATGAGTACCGGTATAAGCAGGTTGTCCGGTCACTTCCTTTTTTCCCTTGCACAATATCCAAACCAAACACATATAATTTAATTAGGCTTGCACGTAATTTACGGATTTACGGAATTACGGAATTATTTCGAGTTACGGAAGCGAAGTTACGAATTACGTAAATTCGTAATTATTGGTCGAGCGCTTTCGCGATTGAAACGAGCTCTCTTCAGAGCAGTCAATTCCGTCGATTGTAAAAAATTAAAGTTTGTTAGAGTTCCGGTATTCGCAGCCGTTTTTCTCTCTTGTTACGCAGATGGAGAAGGCATAACGCGTCGCATTTACTAACCTATTATCAACTTATCTAGCATGGCAAATGTACATATTAAGCGTAGATATGGCATAGAATTGTGTTGAGACCGATGGACGCCAACACACCTGGTTTCAACTTCTTCGGGTGAAATGACTAAAGAATGTAAGGGATCAACTTACCAAACATGGTCTATTTGTAAATGCCGTGATAATTAATGTCGCGCTTATCAAACAGCAATATGACGACGGAAGAGAAATTGCGTAATGAACCAACGCAACTTAGTCTTTTCGGCATCGGTAAAGCGACTCAGACGGCAGAGAAACAACAAAAAGACGGGATTTCCCATGTTTATTCTGCGCGAGATCCATTTTCTATTACAAAATCTTGATGTTCTGTTACCGGTTTTATCGTTATATATCTGTCCGTACTTGGCCTTGTTTTCACAATGCCTCGCACTATTTCGGCCAAATATGTCTTTACAAAATCTTTAAGTCTTTACCAAATGCGGCAACTTATTTTGATTTATCGTCGACTCAAATACCACCGGCACTCGACCAAACTTGTGTCGATCTTAGCCGATAGGATTGTCGACTTGAGTTAGAAAAGTAAATTAATATTTTCGTGAGTGCAAAATAAATGTCACAAATGCATTGTTTTGCGATATAACTTTGTATTTTCGGAGAAGGCATGTCATATAAGTACGGTATTTAAATTATGCGCAAATAATTAATATTTGATCTAAATTTATCGCAAATAATGTTATAACATTTAGGCCGCGAAATGATTTAAT